GATACCTGTCTACAACTCATATTCAATATTTGCTATCTATGTACATTCTAGCACAATTAATCATTATTGTTGTTTTTTACCACACCTTTGAAACTAATATGTGCAGATATCATAAAATCTACTGTGTCGCTGCTTTTGTTGGAAATACCGTTGTTTATCAATCATTGATAGTAGACAGCGCAATGATAAAATTTTGATTAATTGCTTTTGAATTATACGACTATTCTGGTATTTTTCATAAGAAATGGCATGTCATTACCATTTTGTATAAAGTTAAATGTTTTTACTAGAATAAATTCAAATATACATATGTACCTCTTGAAGGTTGCGTTGGTTGTGGTTTGTTAAGTCAGAGATATCTAAACAAGCTATCACCTAATCTTCAACAGATAAATAATAATGAAAGAAGAAGAACAGGTAAAAGAGCAATAAACATAGCTAGGAGCCCCTAATAATTTTTGACAAATGAGTCCCTAAATTATTTTATGCAACATATAAAATTAATTATCGACTTATATTCATCTTACTTTTTAGATTGGTTGTGTAGACAATATCGACGACGTATTCGCAATATCTTAAGCAATTCTGCAGTTTATCTGTTTATTGTTTATATGTACAGTTAATGGTACATGAATGTAGTTTCCGGAATATGCAGTCAGCAGGTTTATTCAATAAGAACGATTGTGTGTAATATTGCCATCTATTGTTATATACTGTTGACTGAAGTATTTCAAGTATTAGTAGACTTACTAAGCTATCTTATGTATTTTATAAGCACAGGGCCCTTGTTTCTATTGGGTACTCTGGGGCAAGTGCCCCCCCTCTTAGTTTCTGCCAGATATATCTACTAAATGAAAATCGATTTCGGTAAGCATATTTATTAATCCCAAAACCAGAAAGGTACCATTTCAATAAACATAGATTTATAATATTATATTAATTATATTACAATTATCTATTCATTTATTGTGATTGTAAAGAAATAATGTTGTCCTGATTCTGATCTAAAGGTCGTCGTCGATTGGAGTTGCTTTCCAACGTTTCGCGAGCGGCGAGTTTCTTCGGAGGTCCTTCCGCTGGACTGTAGTCCACATCCAGCATCAGAGATGGAAGCATCTCTGAAGAAACTCGCCCCTAATACTAGCGAAACGTTAGGAAGTACATAACTCCAATCGACGACAGCTTGTAGAGCAGAATCAGGTCAGCATCAATTTAACAAGTGCCCGCGAACGCCTTTAGCAATTGTTGAATAAATTTAGAATTTTGGCTGTTTCAACAAAATAGTGCTGTCAAAACCATAGGAGCCCCGTTATCCTTATGCCCAGGGTCTCCAATATAAGCACCATCTAATAAGAGCGAAATTGCGACCCTCATCAATTAATAACCAAGGATCTTCTAATTCGTTCTCTTAAAGATTTTAGTATCATAATAGCAGAAATTAAAAAGAAATCGGTTGTCTGTAAAGTCGGTTTACTGACGATAATTGAACGTGACAACGAAAATACTGATGGAATGGTTTCATTCATCAAAGAAAATTTTAATTTTATTTGTTTGATAGATATTTTGTGTGGATATAGAGGAGGTACATGGAAATATATTATTGTATAGCAGCTGTCCACGCGGACGCATCGCTCACTCAAGTAGGAGAGAGACAGATGTCGAACGCTGCCGAACGCGGAGGCCGATTGTGCCTCTTTGTCGCTCGTTCCGCGCTCTCGCTTGCACTTCAAGCCTTAAATGGAACGCCTCAGAGCGAGGTAACGCCGCATGAGTCATGTTTTTTCGTGCGTGCAGCCGGGCTCCATCGAATTATAAGACGTTGTCACGTCAAAAAAAATACAACGTGTAATTATACAACACGCGACTGAAGTGAATCTTCTTCAAACACACAAACATACCGGGATAGGGGTTAAGGAATTGGTTTAATGGTATTATTTGTACACTATGAATTTAAATTTTACACTTTACATGCCGGAGTTGCCTGTAACGAACGTTGCATTGAAGCGCGCTCACGGCTTATGCGATCCCCACTACGAACTCGACTACATGGCTGAGTAGAGGGGGGACATCCGTTGCATGATTTCGTTACATAACAACTCGCATGAAACGAACTTACCCTATCGTGCGTAAAGAAGTTTCACTTCAAATAAATTAAACTAAAACCGTACAATAAAAAAATTATAAGTGCAGTATTTATATACGTCATTAACGTTATAGTAAATTTGCTTTGTGACGGGTAGCCACAGTAAACTTGTTCAATCTAGAATCATCGGGGATTATCTTATCACAATTACTAATCAGAACGGTGCAAAGGTATACTTGCGTACAAGCTAAGTAAATATCTCAATTGAATAATAGCAGCATCTAAAAAACGTTGACATTTTACAAGTTTGCGTGTGTGTTTGTTCTTTATATACTTGCTACTTATCGCCGACCGTGGAAGATGAAATTGTTGAACATCCTTTTGATTCCTTTTCTTATGTTGATGTTTTCGTTAACTGGATTTGCTCATTCCGAAGCAAATAGCGAAGCATCCCATTCCGATACGCGAAATGTAATTTCTATCCCTTGCAAAAGCGGCTACGTACTTGTTAATGGAAAGTGCATTAAAGAATATTAATCAAATGCTAAGGAAACATGTAGGCATTACTCGGATTTTCAGGTAAATTTTTCATTTCAATTATTACAAGCCGTCTTTTATTATTTTTTTGTTAGTATAAATTTCTCTAGTTTGATATCAACAAAGATGATTTATTTCTTTAAAAATGTTGTTGTGACATAGACTGAAATTTTATCAATTCAAAGAACCAAAAGCTGATTACTTGCATTTCACGATTAATATTAAGTTTACACATGCAGAGAAAAAATTCGCAGTAACATAATTTTAGATGACGCATCTGTCGAACACAACAGAATCCGCGGCTGGTGACGATGCAAAAAAAGATCAATAAGAGTCCATAAAATGTTGCTATTTTTAATACATACCTTATGATTAATTTAGAAATTCGATAAAGATTGTTAAAGGTGTATGTTTGGAGCGCGGCGTTGTACGGGTGCGAAACATGGACAGTGGGCGCGGGGGACAAGAAAAGGTTAGAAGCCTTCGAAATGTGGTGTTATTGGTGAATGATAAGGATAACGTGGGTAAAAAGGGTTAGAAATGAAGAGGTGTTAGAAAGAATAGGAGAACAGAGGATTATACGGAAGTCAATAAAAAATAGGCGAGATAGGTTGTTAGGACACCTTCTCAGGCATAAAGGGCTAGTCAGATATAAATTAGAGGGAGAAACAGGAGTTAAGAGGAGTAGAGGTAGACCTAGGTTAGATTACTGTTTGCAAATGGTTAAGGATGTGGGTTGTTCTAGTTTTAGGGAAATGCGATGTTTAGCCCAGGATAGGAAAGAGTGGAGGTACGTGTTCAACCAATCTTAGGACTGACGACCTTCTGATTATGAATACAAACCTAATTGGTATCCTGCAACATGATAAGGGGTACGAAAGGATGAAACGGAAAAGACATATTTTAATTTTAAATAAAAATGACTCTTATATTAATGTGCAAGTTGGGTTGTGGTAGAGAAAGACCTAAATAAGTCCCTTATTTTATAGAACAAGCTTAAAAATATATTTTCCCTGATGCTGGATTGGATGTGAGGTTCTGTACCTTAAACGGCACATGTCCTGATCTAAATTCGTTTGAAATTCTTTCTAGAGGGTTGTATGAAACAGCACGTGAGTCAAACGTCAGTGCAGACTGCTAATGATTTGCACAAGTATGTATGATTGCTGCTAATGAATATTGCATGTAGTTGACAGCTTCCAAAGCTTACTACTTATTTCAGAAATACCCTGTATCAAAAAGTATCGCGAATTTTGTGTTTTTTTCAAAAATTATTTATTTATTTATTCATAAATATCTATTTTATCCCCTTCAAACTAATCCTCACCACATATTATACACTTAAAGCACTTCAAAAAATCATTTTTTGTGATTTTGTTCAGCTCCTGTTTCAATGCCGTCTTTATCTCCTCAATCGTAGCGTAGCGTCTTTCTTTCATGGGTCTCTTCAGTTTCGGGAAAAAGAAAAGGTCACAGGGGGCTAGATCTGGGGAGTACGGTGGCTGCGGAATCACTAGTGTGTTGTTTTTGGTCAAAAATTCGCGCAAAAACAACGATGTGTGAGCACGGGCGTTCTCATGGTGCAAAAGCCAATTTTTGTTCTTCCACAAATCCAGGCGTTTCTGACGGGTTGCTTCGTGCAAATTGAGCATAACTTGCAGGTAATATTCTTTATTGACCGTTCTACCCTGCGGCAAGAACTCTTGATGGACCACACCCCTGCAGTGGAAGAAAACTGTAAGCAAAACCTTCACATTCGACCTAACTTGCCGCGCTTTTTCGGTCTCGGCTCGTGCGGCAGCTTCCATTGGGATGATTGAGCTTTGGTTTCCACGTCATAACCATAAACCCATAATTCGTCATCAGTTATGACCCTCTGGGACAAAATTGGATCGTCGCTGACAGAGTTCAACAGCTCCTTAGCAATGTTGGTTTTGGTCGAAGTTGAGCAATTTTGGTACGAATTTCGCGACGATCCGTCTCATGTCTAAATCATTGGTTAAAATTGAATGGCAGGTGCCAGTCGATATCTTTAGGTCTTCAGCAACTTTTCTAACGGTGATTCGACGATTGGCCAATATTTTTTTCTTTATTTTACCAATGTTTTCGTCTGTTGTCGACATGCTCGGGCGTGCTCCTCGTCTTTTCGGACCTCTGAGAATATTTTGTACCACCGATAAACGTTGCTTCGGTCCAAAGTAGCTTCACCATATGATATGAAATTTGATACAGATCCTTTGATCCATTTTTTGGAACAGGTAAAAATCAAAGATGAGCCAAAACAAGTGCAAGCAAAGCAGCTGCCAAAAAATAATTAAACATTCAACTTGGCCGAACTTGTCGGTATAAGTTAGAGACGTGAGTACCAACATAACTCCACAAAAAAATAGAAAGTCGAATATACGTAACCCGTGGAAATTCAAAATTCGCGATACTTTTTGAACAGGCCTCGTTTGTGTGAAGTTGCATGTTAGTACCTACTTGTCCATATCGATGGCAACATTTATCGTTTATCTTATCATTTCCTCTATTGATTGTAGTCATTTCACCGTTTTATGAATAACTCGTTCATAAATCATCAGAGTCTCAGTGGGCGTGCAAAATTGTAATAAGAAAACTAGTATTTCAACTCACTTAATTTCTATAAGTACTATTTAATTAGCATCGTTATTCTTTATATAGGGGCGCATTTATTTCAACTTAATTCCTTTATGACATGAAATTGTTTGTTTCGTTCGCTTTAATTATCTGCGGAATCGTAATCCTCAATGAGTGTGATGTGGTGTTTTGCAAATGGATGACATACGCGGAATATTTTATGAAATACGGAAAAGACGAGAAGGAATTGGCTAATATCATGAATGTGCCAATACGAGAGTGTCCAGGAAATAGAAGGATGGACAGAAGAGGAATATGTCGGCAAATTTATTAAAGGTATTGTTAGTATTATATTTATTACAAATTGTGCTATAAATTGCGACAAGACAAGATTAACCACGAAAGTAAGTTGGTATAATCTTTATATCGTTCTAGTTTCGGTACTAAACCGGAAGGTCATGGAAATGGTTCCAAAATAGTAATAATAATTCTTTATAACAAACCAAATATTTTTAATTGAATTTTAGTAGTAAAACTAAAAAAATAAATGAAAAACAAAATTTAGTAAACATAACCAGAATTTTAATTATTTAAAAGACATGAAATATTGAATATTATTCTATACAAAAATAAAATCTGGTGTAGGTCAATCCCCTAAGTTATTTTAGGGGCATCTCTCTCCTCTTTGTCACGTTGACAAGTTGCTTGTGCGGTGGTGTATTCACTTTAATGTTCCGGATCTTTTTTTAAAATGTGGTCCTTTTTATGGTTAAACTCTCGAGCGATCCCTGGAAGAAATACCAGAATCTATAAATCGTTCCCCGATTTTCCCCACAAAGGGGTTGGTTTTGCGAATTATACCATCGATCTTCAAACTCCCGTTTAGAGTGAGTGAAAATATCTTAGAATACTCATCATTGATTCTTAGGTGATCCTTGAATTATCTCCAGGATTGTCCTCAGTTGCAATTTACTAAACTGAACTGGAACGAAAGAGTCAAGAACGTTCTGCTATATTCAAGAACCATTATGCATGAATGGTGGCTATGACTTTTGAAACGATGTTAAGACATTTTATAATAATTGTAACCAAAAAGTATTCTAAAACCTTTTTAGAATCTTCTATGATGTTCAAGATTTCTCCACTTTGGTGGGCGTTTCGTGTTTTTAAACGACGATCAAACACCAGCTTACAATATGTGAAAATGCCGTTAGTTAGTATAAAAAAAATATTTGCTTAGATAATGCTTGCTACGTATGTATATGCGTAATATTTAAAACAACATGCCGCCGCCATTGTAGTTATCATTATTCAAATAAACAAGTGAATATTAATCTTATAATTAGTAGTTGTAAGTAACCTTGGTACAGTTTTTGTTCAGTATGTTGTGGTATCTTTTTCGCTCTATATGACACGGATTGTCGTCTTCAAATATTTCGATTCGTTGTGCCCGCAATGTTTGAATACGTCATAATTTTTCTGTTTCTGTCAAATACGGTGTTTAGTCAAGTAGCGGACGAAATTAACGGTGCTCAACAGCCTCCAAACAAGAACAATGTAGTACTAAAGTTAGATCAAAAACGTATCATTATAACTCCATGTAGACCAGGATACGTATTCATAGCTGGTGGATGCAGACGAGAATACTAATGGTATATGTTTCAGTGTATGAAATCATTTTTCGTTCTTTATCTTAGCAACTAAATAGTACATTATTGTTTGCAATGAGCTTCGTTCTATGGTAGTCATTATATGATAGTTTGGATTTTGGATATCTGAACGCAGCCAACCGGTGATCGGGAAAAACCAGGACGTCAGCAGGGATATTATAGGTCGAAACACGTAAATCACCGTAATCCAATAAAATAATTCGAAGTGGTCTGTATTCTGTCGAAACTGCCAGACGCTGATCGCGATTTCGATCTTTTTGGATCTCATCAGCGCGACGCAGACAGCTCCGACAGAACACAGACCAACTTTTACGATTACTTTATATCCATATATTTAAATGGACCTTGCTGAAGCATACGTAATCCTAAAATGTAGCACTGTACTACAGATGGCGTTTACAGCGCCATTTGTCGTATTTTCTAAAACCGTAATCCAAGTTTAGATATCTTTGAATAAATTGTAGTCTGCGAAACGTGGACAGTGGGCGCGGCGGAAAAGAAAAGGCTAGAAGCGTTCGAAATGTGGTGTTATAGGCGGATGATGAGGATAACGTGGGTAGAAAAGGTTAGAAATGAAGAAGTATTAGAAAGAATAGGAGAACAGAGGACTCTATGGAAGTCAATAAAAAATAGGCGAGATAGGTTGGTAGGATACCTTCTCAGGCATGAAGGTCTAGTTAGAGACATATTAGAGGCAGAAACAGGAGTTAAGAGGGTTAGAGGTATTCCTAGATTAGATTATTGTTCGCAAACAGTTAAGGGTATGGGTTGTTCTAGTTTTAGGAAAATGCGAAGTTTAGTTCAGGATAGGAAAGAGTGGAGGTATGTCTCCAACCAGTCTTAGGACTGACGACCTTATGGTGATGATGATGATTGTTTATTGTTTCTTACATTACGAAAAACTGTAAACAGTATAATTTGGCTGCCCATACATGACGCCATGCTAGTGTTGCAAGAGACTCGGCTTCCGCAACTACGGAAGTTCCGCATTTACTTTCACATCTGTTTCTGCATCTGGTTCCGCGTTTTTATAACAGAACCTTATCGGAACTTAACAAACTCTTTACTTTTATCTGTTGGCTGAACTTGACCGTTTTCAAAACACAATTTAAATGGAATTGGCCGTTGCAAAGCTGCATGCTGTGCATAAATCTATTTCCTAGCATTTTCCAAATTTTATTCTGGTATTAGTTTCCTACTTTAATCTAAAAACACCTAGGACATTCAGCTATCCCTTAGACAGTTCTTTTTTTGATTTCGAAAATATCAATAAGTGCTAAATGCAAAATTTGTAATAATATATTCCCGAAAAGGGCGCACGACCACTGCATTAAAGAGTCAACTAAAATCATTACACTTCCGCTACCGCATCTGCTTCCGTTTCCGCTTCCTCAAAAATTTGCTATTTACTTCTGCTTTCGTTATGACACTTCCATGCCGCGCCGTTTAATTTTCTTTCTTATATATTTATAAATTTTTAATGTTTTTATTAATTGCTAACAATTTTAGGATACATTTATATCGAAAACAGAAATATTATTAACTAATAATTGACCAACCATCAAATAATAGACCAATGTGGTAATTATTATTTTTGTATATTTTCTTTAGTATTTCTTGTAATTTCAACAAAATTAAAAGTATTAGTCAAAAAGAAAGGTTTCTGAATTAAAAAAAAAATATATATGTAGTTTTTCTATTATCTATTATTTATTCGAGCTGTTTCAGCAAATGTGCATCTAGAAAAAAGAATACCTATTCGTGTCAAAGTTCAAGCCTTTAGGATCCATAATTTCATTTTATCTTATCATCAAGCGGAGGTGGCGGGTAATAGCTAATGGTACACTTTAAAAAATATGCATTTGCTTGCATAATGATTGCCAAAACAACAACATGCCGTCGTCACTATCGTCCACTATTGAAACAAAAAAGTGCATATTAATCTTGTTAATTACAATATAATTTCAGTATGTTGTTGCATCTTCTCGGTTCGATTTAACACAGATTTGCGTCTTTGATTATTCCGATTCTGAGGAAATTGCGATGTTAAAATACGTTATAATTTTGTTACTTCTGTCATATATGGCGTTTACCCAAGAAGCAGAAGAAACTAACAATGCTCAACACTCAGCAATACATAAAAATTTAGAACCAAAGAAAAAAAAATACGGAAAACGTCTTCTTGTAACTCTATGTAGAGAAGCGTACGTGTCAACTACTAGAGGCTGCGTACAAGAATATTAATAGAATGTTTCCGTGTAGGTATCGTATATAGGTAATATTGCTAACCAATTAATACTAATATTTTATTTAAAAAATGCAAACTGTATAAATGTTGTTAATGTTTTCTAAGATTTTCATCATTATAAAGGAACGTACTCATACTATGTGAATCATTTTTTACAATTTTTAACTTTCTTTCCCCCCTTAAGAACCACCCGTAGTATGTGCCACGACCTCCCTCCCTCTCTAATTTTTATGTAATAATTCATAAATCATTTTTTGCAAACAACAAGTTTTGGTAAATGATGGCCTCCACCCCCGAAGGAGGTAGGGGTGGGTGGGATCGAAAGAGGAGGTCTCCCCCACCACTGTACCATAAAAAGTTCGTGGCGGTCTCACCGCCATAAAGAGTTATGGGGGTGAGATGGGGGTGGGGGTAGGTGGGATCGAAAGAGGGTAGGGGGGATCGAAAGAGGGTGGTCACCTGAGTAAAACTCCATAAAAAATTTGCGGCGGTCTCACCCTCATAAAAGGTTATGGAGGTTAAAAGTTGATTATTTTGATAATTTTCATACACTATAATTTGAAAAAATTCATTAAAAATTTTCCAGCCGGTGGAGGTAGGGGATCGAAAGAGGGTGGTCACTTGAACAAAACCCGAAAAACCAACCTAACCTACCCTATTGATATAGATATTTAAATAATGTTTTATATAACTTTTTCAATATTTTTATGTATTTTTCCATTAGTTTTACCTTTGAATATTGTTTGAGAATGACTATATAAATATTTACGTGCCTGGAAACGTATAAAAATTAGCATATTTATTAATTTTTAACCCCTATAACTTTTTATGGGAACGAGACCGCCATGAACTTTTTATGGTACAGTGTTGTGGGAGACCTCCTTCTTCGACCCCCCTCCGTCCCCACCCCCTTTGGGGGTGGGGGCCATCATCTAGACCTTTACCCAAGTTTTTAATTTAGCTCGAAAAAGCGCTAGATTTTTCAAGAACCTCCCCCCCCGCAGAACGGGTCACGTAGTATGTGTACGTTTCTTAAGGTCGTCAGTCTGAGGATTGGTTGAATATGTACTTCTACTCTTTCCTATCCTGAGCTATCTTCACATTTCTCTAAAACTAGAACATCTCACGTCTCTAATTATTGCGATGAGTAATCTAATCTAGTCTATCTCTGCTCTTCTTAACGCCTTCCTGTTTCTGGTTCTAATATACTATTGACGTAATTTTAAATAACTGAATTAGTCTTCACGAGTTTCCTACTTCTTTGTAATTCGTAATTTATGTATAAATATGTTGGAATTAATTATTAATCAATTGCTAGGTGCATCTAGAAAATTCATATCAAAGTTCAAGTCTCTAGGTTTCATAATTTCATTTTATCTTATGTCTAGCGGATTTTATAACATTATTGAAGCAAACAAGCGCACATTAATCTCACTAAATGTGTTTTTGCTCAGTATGTTGTTCCATCTTCTCGGATTGATTTAACACGGATTTGCATCTTTGAATATTTCGATTCGGGGTAACTGCAATGTTAAAATACGTTCTAATTTTCTTGCTTCTCTCAAGTATGGCGTTCACCCAAGAAACAAAAGAAACTAGTGATGCTCGACAGGGGGCAACGCATAAAAATAACGCCACCGAAATACGTCTTCTTATAATTCCATGTAGCGGGGGGTACGTGTTAACTACTGGTGGCTATTAGTAGAACTCTTCAATATGTGTAGGTATCTTAAGTTATCTTGTTTGCTAATTAATTCTAATATTTCTATAAAAGAAATGCGAACCGTATAAATAATTGTTAATATAATTGAAATTGTATACCCGCTTGGCACTTGAAACATTTTTATAAAAGTAAAGTAAAGGAATTAAAACACTTGTCAAGTTTCACAATGTTTATTTATTTCTCTGACGATCGTTTCGGTGTTTAAACCATTTTCAAAGAGAGTGTACTAGTACACTTTTGTATACTTTACTTTTAATAATGTTAATGTTTTTAAGATCGCCATCATCATAAGGTCATCAGTCCTAGGACTGGTTGGACACATACCTCCATTCTTTCCTATCCTGAGCTATCTTCACATTTCTCTAAAACTAGAACAACAGAACATCTCAAATCCCTAGCTAGCGCGAACAATAATCTGATCTAATTGACTAATCCAAAAGTCTACCTCTACTCTTCTTAATTCCTTCCTGTTTCAAGTTCTAATATGTTGTTTATTTGTGTGCAATCTGTATTTTATGTATAAATGTGTTGGAATTAATTAATAATTAACAAAATTACTTTTACTTTTATTTTTCTTCTAATAAAAATAAAACCAATTATTATGGAACTGCAAATACCATTATCTGAAATTGAAAACCGCATATTACATTATCTACTTCCTAATAGGTAGGTAAAACACAGGAAAACAGAAACCTACAAAATAATAATTAATAATTTCCTACATAGAAACTTACAGTGTTAAATGTTCGTATTTGTATAGAGGATCGATTGTACAGCAGTAGTTCTGTCCCTAAAACAAAAAATTGCTAGGTGCTAATCGTTACCATTGGTTCACAATGCTGATATATAATTTGTTGTGCACGGTTTTGGTTTGTTTAATATTTGTGGGCGATATAATTTGTACACCAATTTCTGTCCCGAAGAGACAATGTAAAAGCGGGTATAGACTTACCCGTTTTGGTAGATGCAAACCACTAGCAAGATTTAAACATCACATTAGATACGGTAAGATGGTGAAAAAGGAGAAAGAAAACTAGCTGATCGTTTTATACATAGATATACGTATGTATGTATATGATATATAGTAGGAGATCAATTTAAATAGCTTTAATTTTTTTAATTTATTTTTATCTATAGAAAATCTAAATGTCTCTACAAGTAAATTACATTGAAAATGAAGATACAATGTAAACTCTATGTAACGACAGTTAAGGGACTGAACATTTTTCGGCGTTATAAAGAGTGGTCGTTAAATGGAGAGAAATAAAAGATATTATTTTACTAACGTTTTCTTTATTTTCTCTCAAAACATGGTCCTTATAAGGAAGTTTCGGTTTCGGCCGAAACTGAGACCGTTGCCGAAATTTTACACACGAACATTATTATCCATACCTACCTTGAGTATAGCCTGTTATCTTCGTCTGATGTTTTTTGCTGCTCCAATATGTTAATTGTATTTTGTTACGTATCTTACTCATATCTTAAGATACTGCTGGATCAGTTTGATTATATAAAAAGTATTCTTTTAATAGTTTCGCTGCATCAAGTGCTTGTTTGATGCTTGGTGGAGGGACAGGATCGTCTTCTTCAACAACGTACAGGCCTGACGCTGGAAGCTGGAGGAAATTTTAAAATGGCGTGGATGCGCGGTAGCAAAAGTAGGCAGTTTTAGGTATAACGATTGCAGCCCTCATTTTTCAGTATTCCTATCAGGGGCGTAGATTAGATATTTAAAAATAGGGATCAGTGAGCAAGTAATAGACAGACAAACAGAAGAACTAATTGTTGATGTTGGTGACAGTCATAGAGATTCTTATGATGAGAGTGAATGTGAAAACTAACTACAAAACAAAAGCAATAGGTTAATTTTTTCTTTCTGATAAGTCATGTTTTTACATTATTTTCTAGTACGCTACTGCCCTATCTCTATTAATACTATAATTTACGCCTATTGAAAGCTTATTTGTGTATCGGTTCCAAGTGACTTACCCAAATAGGTCATAAATGGGCAAATACCTGCGCGACCGCTCGCCAGCTTCCTTCGTCAGACCTGTACAT